AAGAGTTTGCTGGGAGATCAACACTGGATCTTCTTCCTCAGCACCTCAAAACCCTGTCAGTAACCTTGAGTGCCTGATTGAGGGGGTCTTGCCCACGTCTGCTCCCCTCCCCCAACAGTTCCAACTGGATAGATCCCCAGAAAGCAAAGATAAACAGAAACTTACTCTGGAGGTGTCCTAAGTGACTAAAAAAAAAAAATGTTGGCCTGTTGGGCATCCACAAGCTGGCGCTTGGAGCCACAGAAAGACCATGGGGCCCTGGACCCTTTCAGGAAGCAACTCCTCTGTGGGGGTTTCTGTCCTTTGGCAGTCAGCTCATCAAGGCTGCTGGCCAGTAGCTTCAAGGAGCCCAAGTGCCCTCTTGGCACTGGGATCTAGTTGGTGCCTTCAAAATGTCATTTGGAATTTGATCAGCAAGATACAGAGATGCCACAATTTAAGAGGTCAAATCTGGAGTCTAATGGAAAGTCAGTGACCACAGGTGGACTCTTGTCACAAAGACCTGCAGCTCAGAATGTCTCTTACACAAAGCTTTTAAAGGCAAAAAATGTGTTGGGGTGGAGACCAAGTCTTCACAAAAGTGTAATACATAAAACAAAGCAAGCTAGATAAGGATACCAATTCCTAAAAAATGTTAGACATAGGAAGAGTAAACTAGATGGGGATACTTAATCCTAACAGAGTAAACTATCCAGGGGAACAATGAGGGGCATTCAGGACCCCAATTATCTAGAGGAAGCAATTGCAACCCAAAGAATGTCCTCTATTACCTCTAGAGTTCTCAGAAAGTCCCCATCTTCCATTAACTTCTATCAAGATGCCAAGATGCTGTTACTTAGATCTAGCATCCATATTTCACTACTAGTTGAGCCACAACTTCCGGCTTTTTGGTGGTTAATTGGAGAGTCTCACAGACTTTCCTGGGTGGACTTTGAACCACCATCCTCAAATCTCAGCCTTCTGAATCACTAGGATTATAGATGTGAGCTACCAGCAACGCCTCCCTCCCCTATCCTTCCCTCCCCCGCCACCCCCCCGCACTTTTTTTTTGGTCGGTGGTGGGGCTTGAACTCCGGGCCAGGGCACAGTCCCTGAGCTTTTTTTGCTTGTCAAGGCTAGTGCTCTGCCACTTTGAGCTACAGTTCCTCTGCCGGTTTTTGAGTGGTTAATAAGAGTCTCAGGCGACTTCTCCGCGGGCTGCCTTTGAACCGCGATCCTCAATCTCCTGAGTAACTGGTATTACAGGCACGAACCACGGCACCCGGCCTCACTAATTTTTAAGTATCCATTACATGACGAGGTAAAACTGGGTTATGTTGACTGGAATAAAACATTATTGATGTGCCTCACATCTGTTCTGTTTCCACCGGGCAAGCCTGCTCTGTATCCAAGCCTGCACCTTTCCCAGTTCGCGGGGACTCTGCGGGCTGAAAGAACAAGGCGTCCAAAGACTAGCTGGCACACATGCCTTGACCAATTCAGGCTACGAGTTTTGTTGTCTGGTCTTTTTCACCCAGCTCCTATACAATTCGTTGTTTCAGTGATTGTGGAAAACACAACAGCCTCTTCGCTCGCGCTTCCGCGCGGAGACGCGCCCTCACACAAGGTTGTCCCGCGTCGCGGTCCGTCCGCGCCCAGGGCGCTCTGGCGTGCGCGGTCTTCCGGTTCCGGGAGACAGCCATGGCGTTCCTGTGTCAGCGTGACAGCTATGCCCGGGAGGTGCGGCCGGTGGCGGGCGGGAGGGGGTGTTCGGAGAAGAAGAGCCCCGGGGCGGGAAGGTGGGCCGCGGTGAGGATGCAGGGCCCGGGCCGTGGCTCATTTTCTTGCCCTCCGTGGCTAGTTCACCACCGCCGTGGTCTCCTGCCGCCCCGCGGAGCTGCAGCGCGAGGGCCGCGATGGCGAGAAAGAAGTTCTCAGCGGTTTCCAGGTGGTGCTGGAAGACACGCTGCTTTTCCCCGAAGGCGGGGGACAGGTACCGGCCTGCTGCCCTCCCGAGAACCCCACCGTCCTCTGTGCTCACAGAAAACGCGCTGCTGTGCCCGCCTGCCTTAGCCCTAGGGAATCCAGGCTGCTGGGACTCGCTTCACGTCCGTGTTCTTTCAGTGCTGACAAATCTTTATATTCTCGATTCGACTCGTGCTGTGTGAGCTGAGCCCAGGCTCTAAAGAGGAAGGGTCAACACGATTGTGTGTGTTTGCGTGGATGTGTGTATATTGAACCTCACATCTCTAGGCACGTTTCCTGTTTTTGTTTTTCTTTTCTTTCTGCAGTCCTAGGCCTTGAACTCGGGGCCTGGGCGCTGCACTTGATCCTCTCTGTGCTCAAGGGTAGCACTCTACCACTTGAGCCACAGTGCTACTTCCGGCTTTTTCTGTGTATGTGGTACTGAGGAATCGAACTTAGAGCTTCATGCATGCTAGGCAAGCACTCTACCCCTAAACCACATTCCCAGCCTTGTTTGTAGTTTTCTAAAAATTTTTATTGCTATACTTAAATGCCTGTTTTAATTCCCGAAGAACAAAATATATAGATGTTCAAAGTAAAAAGGAATCCTGTCACAGAGCAAAGTAGATACTTTGCTTGGCATTGCCTCTTCTTTTTCTCTTAGGGAGCTCAAATTCTGGATGTGTCTCACATAGTCTTTCCCTAGAGGAACTTTGTATCTAAGAGGTTGGGTGAGCCCTGCCTCCTGCTGATAACTTACTTCTCCTAGCCTGATGACCGTGGTACAATCAATGGCATCTCTGTGCTGAGAGTGACCCGCCGGGGGGCACAGGCTGATCATTTCACACAGACATCTCTGGCCCCTGGGAGCCAGGTCCAGGTCCAGGTGGACTGGGAGCGGAGATTTGACCACATGCAGCAGCATTCAGGTATGTGGGGCAGGACAAACAAGAGGCACAGTTGCTGTGTATGGGTACTAGTGCTCACATCTGTAAGCCTAGCTACTCAGGAGGCTGAGATCTGAAGATCACAGTTCAAAGCCAGCCTGTATAGGAAAGTATGGGGCTCTCACACTGATTTTTGTTCCCCTGTAGTTTGTTTTGCACACAGCAGTCAATCAATCAGAATAACCTTATTTGGCTGGGTGCTGGTGGCTCACACCTGTAATCCTAGCTACTCAGGAGGCTGAGATCTGAGGATGGTGGTTCAAAGCCAGCCCGGGCAGGAAAGTCCCTGAGACTCTTATCTCCAATAAAACCACTAGAAAACTGGAAATGGTGCTGTGGCTCAAATGGTAGAGCTCTAGCTGTGAGCTGAAGAGCTGAGGGACAGCGCCCAAGCCCAGAGTTTAAGCCCCACGACTGACAAAACAAAAAACAAAAATAACATTATTTGTTTGTCATCATGGGAGTATGTGGCTGGACTTTTCACATTTTCTTCTCTTCTCTTTGCTTAGGACAACATCTCATCACAGCAGTTGCTGACCATCTCTTTGGGATGAAGACAACATCATGGTAAGCAGGAGGTACAAGGTATGATCTAGCATTCTGCACTACCAGCTCTGTTCCTAGTAATGGGTCTAGAGTATAAGGATCATATCCATACTCTTAAGTGGTTGTGTTCAAAATTGGCTGTCTTCTTGACCTCGTGTTTCTTGACAGAAGAGACATTGGCCTTTGCTTGGAAAGAACATGGAGGGCTGGAGGTGTGGCTCAAGTGGTAGAGTGCCAGTGGAACAATCAAGTCTAGTGAAGCTGAGGCTCTGAGTTCAAATCATAGTACTATTCTTCAAAAAAAAGCGAAAGAGTAGGTACCTTTTGGAGTCTTTAACTCCCGTTTCCTTCATGGGGAGCAGGAAATATTTCTCTTTCTCTTCCTCCCCCATTTTCCACTACTTTAACCCTGTTATGCTAAAATTAATCCTTACAAAAACTGGGAAGAATAATGATGCTTTAAAAAACAACAAAAACACTAAGATGAAATTTGGAACCAAGGAGCTGAGTGCTGGCCTCACCACTCACCACATGGCAATCCCCAACAAGTGGGATTTTTGTAAGGATTAAATAAAATAATTTATGTAAGCTTTTGTTTTTTAGTGTTGTTTTTTGGAGACTCCATTTGTAGGCTAGCCTCGGCCGGCCTCCCTCAATATCCTCTTACATCAGCCTCCTCAGTGGTAGGATTATGAGTGTGCACCACCACACCTGGCTATATGAATAATCTTTTTGTGGTATTAGGAATTATACCCTAGGCCTTGTGCATGTTATGCAAGCACTTTACCACTGAGCTACATCCCAGCCTCTATGTGAACATTCTTTTTTTTTTTTTTGGGTCCGGTCGTGGGGCCTGAACTCTGGGCCTGGGC